CTCTTCTCTGCTTTGCAGATGGGAAGATGCAATCACTCCCCCAGCCACTGACTTTTTGAGCCACAGCTTTGAAGCTTGGTGTACTGTCTGTGTCTCCTTTTAATACCACACTCCCCCACCCCTGTGATCTTCTCTCGGGCAGTGACGGGAGGGGCAGCGGCATGGCATTAGAGCGGGTTTTTTCAGCGTGCCATCTGAATTTCTTCTCTGCTTTGCAGATGGGAAGATGCAATCACTCCCCCAGCCACTGACTTTTTGAGCCACAGCTTTGAAGCTTGGTGTACTGTCTGTGTCTCCTTTTAATACCACACTCCCCCACCCCTGTGATCTTCTCTCGGGCAGTGACGGGAGGGGCAGCGGCATGGCATTAGAGCGGGTTTTTTCAGCGTGCCATCTGAATTAAGAGGTGGTGATATGGGAGACAGGTTATTGCGAGACAGGCAGATTAATCTGCAGGGGGGCCTGAGGCCCTGCTGGGATTTGCCTATCATGCTGATAGCCCCCCCTCCTCCCCCATTAATTTATTCTGCTCTGACAGCACATTAGAAAGAAAGTAAGGCGCTTAGGGAAAGCATCCATCTCGGTGCCCCAATTACACACAAGTCCCTGTTCCAGCCAGCAGTGATGTGGGGAGAAGGGATGCGGAGATGGAGGAAGTCATGTCTGGGGTTCAGCTGGCTGCAAAGACAATACTGACATTTGTCCTGTCCAGTTGGCTCACATCCCCCCCTCTTCTTGTCCCTTCACGTCCCAGGATGCTGCCTTGTCACCCTGTTTCAGCAGCTTCAAAATCAGATCCTCCCACATCATCCCTGCACTGCTGCCCATATCATCATCATCTCCTGAAAACGCTCCCAGCAAAGTCAGCTTCCCCTCTCCTTGCTCCGTACCCTCCCTCCCTTAGCTCCCGCGGGTATCTTGCAGCGCCCGTTTTCTCGGCTCTATTTTTGTAGGTGGGAAAATCGAAGCAGCAAGACGGGGGCAGTTAGCAGAGGCAGCCCAGTGCATTTCCATGTCGGTCTGCTCCATTCTGGGTCGGAACTGTCATATGAGAGATTATGTCCATTGTCTGTTTCTAGGCTAAGCTGCTAAGGGGCAGGATCTCTGTCTCCTTGTATGCTCTGTGGAATGCCCAGTACATTGTCTGTGCTTAATAATAACTACAGCAATCATGACACTAATACTAGGCACCTAATGTGGGTACTTATGTGCCTAAGATCAGAACTTCCCTGTAATTTTTTCAATCTGTGTGCAGAATGAATTTTATTTTGTGCACTACCAGTAGAAACACAGGCTGCTGGCTGTAGGCGCTCTGCTAATCAGCTGGGTGGCCACATGCTCTCAGGTTACAGGGAACTGCTTATGAGTGGATCTCTGGCTGTCCTCAGTTCCCTTTATTTGACAACTGAACACAATTGGATTCTTCTCTCTGTGACCCTGAGTCACACCACTGTGTTCAGTGTCGTCCCATAGGTGTAGCAAAGAGCAGAATTTGGTCCGGAATATACAAACTTATCTTGGTGCCACTGAGCAGAGCTAAACGTATAATGCATCAGTGCTGCACTGAACTGCCCCGTACGCAGGCCAATCCATTCTAGTTCCTTTTTTCACTCTTTGTTCCTTAATCCCCGCCAGCCCCCCGGGTATTAGAACATCCGAACGGCCCGACGGGGTCAGGCCAAAGGTCCATCTCGCCCAGTGTCCTGTCGTCCGACAGGGGCCAGAGCCAGGTGCCCCAGAGGGAGTGAACAGAACAGGGAACCATCGAGTGATCCCTCCCCTGTTGCCCATTCCCAGCTTCTGGCAAACAGAGACAAGGGAACCATCCCTGCCCAGCCTGGCTAACAGACCTTTTCCACAGGTTGACTGTGTTGTGTGAACATAAGAACGGCCATACTGGGTCAGACCAATGGCCCATCCAGCCCAGTATCCCCGTAGTGGTTGTGCAATTTCACATTTGAGTTCCTTCACAACTCTTGAATGAATACCACCTGATCCCGGTGACTTCTTGCTGGTTAATTCATCAGTTTGTCCCAGAACCTCCTCTACTGACCCCTCAACGTGGGACAGTGCCTCCGATCTGTCACCTAAAAAGAAAGGCTCCCTCCCAGCTCTGTCAGCGAATAGCAACACAAATCATTCATTTTAGCTTCTCTGCAACAGCCGTCTTGGGTGCTCCTTTAGCACCACGAACGACTGGGCGGGCTTCCTGCTACTGATGGAGTTCAAACTTTTTTTGCTGTTAGTTTCTGAGTCGTTTGCTAGTTACTGTTCACATTCTTTTTTGGCCTGCCTAATTATACTTTTACACTTGACTGGACAGAGGTTATTCTCCTTTCTATTTTCCTCCGTAGAATTTGACTTCCTAAGGTCACTTAAGGTTTATATCCTCCAGTTCAGCACATGAAGTCTGCTTTCAATGGCCGAATGCAGGAGAAACCAAACCTTTGGGGGGAATCTATGGGGAAGGAAGTGATCAACAGAGAGATCAGGTTCCTTGGGATGTGTGGCTCCTCTCAAATAAACAGCACGGCTACGTCTAGACTGGCATGATTTTGCGGAAATACTTTTAACGGAAAAGTTTTTCCATTAAAAGTATTTCCACAAAAGAGCGTCTAGATTGCAAGGATTCTTTTGCGCAAAAAGTGTTTTTGCGCAAAAGCATCTGTGGCCAGTCTAGACGCGATTTTGCGCAAGAAAGCCCCGATCGCCATTTTAGCCATCAGGGCTTTTTTGCGCAAAACAATCCTTCCCTGTCTACACTGGCCCTCTTGCTCAAGTATTCTTGCACAAGAGGGCTTTTTCCCTAGCAGGAGCGTGAAAGTATTTGCGCAAGAAACACAGATTTTGTACATTACAAAGTCAGTGCTCTTGCGCAAATTCAAGCAGCCAGTGTAGACAGGGGGCAAAATCTTGCCAATCTAGACGCACCCCACTAGTCTCCTTGGCTATGTCTAGACTGCAAGCCTCTTTCGAAAAAGAGCGTCTAGACTATTTTTGAAAAAAGTGGCCTGTGTTCGAAAAAACTTCCCCTGCATCTAGACTGCTGCTGCGTTCTTTTGAAAGTAATTTGAAAGAACACAGCAGTTTTTTCGACGGTGGAAATCTTCGTTTTACGAGGAAGAACACCTTTTTTTGAAAGAGCTCTTTCAAAAAAGGTGCTATGTAATGCAAACTCTGCTTTCAAAAAAGCGAGCCGCTTTTTCGAAAGAGAGCACCCAGACAGTCTGGATGCTCTCTTTCAAAAAAGCACAGTTTACATCACATAGCACCTTCTTTCGAAAGAACTCTTTCAAAAAAAGGCGTTCTTCCTCGTAAAACGAGGTTTTCTGCAGTCGAAAAAACTGCCGCGTTCTTTCGATTTACTTTCGAAAGAACGTGGCAGCAGTCTAGATGCAGGGGAAGTTTTTTCGAACAAAGGCCACTTTTTTCAAAAACACCCTGTAATCTAGATACAACGTGTGTGTGTGTGTGTGTGTGTGTGTGTGTGTGTGTGATTCAGCAAGTATCTTCATCATTGTGTGAGCTTGTCTATCCATGGGGATGCCAATTTTTTTATTGTACGGGTGAAACTACCTAGGAGTATGTGTGTGCACTGTGATGAGAACATCTCCAGTTATGGGTCCGTGTCTCTGTGGATTGTTTGTCTCAGTGCATGTATCCACGATTGTTAGCACTTCTCAGTTTGTGTATTTCTGATATTGTGCGGGGACAGGTGTATGTGTTATCAGTCTCTCAACTGTCATGTCCCCGTTTATTGATGTATTAATTTGTATTTGTCTCAGTTTATGCAACTGTATCATTGCAAATGCGTCAGTTTGTGTCTTGCTGATATTGTGGGCTTGTATCTTCATTTGTACAGCACTTTTATTTTGTTGGAGCATCTCAGGACAGATCTCAGTGTGCCCTCTGCACTGATGCGTCTTTGTGTTTCTGTGTTTATTGTGTCTGTGCTATGTTGTGATTGTAAGTGTGTCAGTGCCTCTGGGACGAGACCTTTTGTCTCAGTGAGTCTGTGCGCTTGTGTTTGGGTGTAGGTCCATGTTACTATGTGCGACTTGTGTCTGCATTCTCGGCACATAGTTTCAGTTGCCCATTCATCGTCTCAGGGCGTCCCTTGGCATACACTAAACACACGGCTGTGCAGGGCACCTGAAAATTTGGAGCATCACATCTTTGGGAACCCTTTCACAGCAACATGTCCTTCTTTGCCTAAGGGTGGCCCTATTCACCTCCACTGCAACCTGCCTGGTTCCTCCCCCACCCCACCACTCTCTCCCGCCAGCAGCAGCAGGGCTGCCTTCTCCCTATCCCCCCTCCCTCCCATGCTCCACTTGGCCAGCACCTAGTTGCTAGCGAGGGCTCCCTCTTGCCAGGCCGGGGGCAGAGAGAAGCTCTCAGCCTTTGTAGCTCTGCTCTAGCCTCCACAAAGCCCCCAAGCCCAGGCAGAAGCTGCACAGGGGTGATCAGTTGCATAGGGCCTCATAAAGTATAAGGATGGCCCTGCCTTGGCTCACATCCACACTCCATTTCCCTCTCCTCAACCTTTCCATCTCTGGAACCTCTTGTGACTAGGGGGAATGTTAGTTCTTACGGATGCGAGCGGTTTAGGGACGTTTCGACAGCGACAGAGAGCGAGCAAGGCAGGGACGAGGGGAGACCGAGGAAGTCAAGGGCTGTCTAGCTTAAGAACTAAACGCATCAGATGATTTGCCCTCTGGGAGTCGGGGGGATGGGTACCGCGGGGCAGTGAGGAGTGGGTGAAAGAAGGGAAGGTGAGAACAGAGGTTACAGCAACGCTGAAACGACTCGGTTTTGACTGAGGCCGACCCGGCAGCTCCTGCCTGCCTTGGGGACTGTCAGAGCCATTCCCGTCTCGTCTCTTTGTCTTGGAAGCTTTCCCTGGCTGTGAAGGCTCTCCTGCGAATCCAGCGGCAGCAAGGGCCAAGCGCA